AGGACATTTTCCTATACCCCTGTGCTGATAAACTTCTGACTAATCCCTTTCTTGTGCAACTTAGGGCTGGTACCCAATCACACGGGGCTTAAACTATAGCTATTGCATTACAAACACAAAGGAAAATCTCTCAGCAGGGCTAAAGCCTCCACATGGTTCTGAGGGCTCCAGTGCCCATTGTTTGCAGGTGAACTGACAAAGTCTGAAGAACTAAAGGTTACATACTTAATTTGTACTGATAAACTATTTATGTGTGTTGTGGCTTTAGCTCCTGGAGAGCCACAACACTAAAACTAAAGTTGGTCACACGGAATACAGCTACCTGTAAAAAGCAGCTTTATCTTTGCTATCTAATCTCAAGTAGTAGAGACACTTCAAACAGTAAATGTTGTGGAATGTAGATATCCAACAAGTGTATAGCATATGGCTATAATATGTATTTATAACTAAAAATAAAACTATGGTAGTTATTTAAAGATATATATAATGCAAGGTATACTCGTCAGGATAGAGACAAAAAAATCTCAATGGCCAAGTCACACTTCTTTCAAAGTGGCAGAGCACAAGCTGTGCAAATGAATCTATGATTTACTGAAGATTCACATACAGGGAACTGAAATGTATATCCAAAATAAGAATCTTCCCAGGCAATAATTTGCCATTTACTACTCAATCTCTTCTCATTTTCCCTATGTATGTTTGCATTAAATCCTCTACACACAGTGTACTTTAAAGACAAATCATCCCTTTGATCACCTTCCTTCCAAACTGCTACCCAATGTCCTACTGGAGGTTTTTCTTCTCCTTCATCCACACCTTCTCTTAAAGAAAGAGAAGTTTCTCTTGAATATTTCTAGTTGAAGTGCTGCCTAGGCCTGACTCTTTTCAGCTTGCCAAGTATTCTTCTGATGGGGTAAAATTTAACAAACACCACATCCAAGGGATGCTAATAGCCATGGAACATTCATGGGGCGTGACTGTTGCTAAGTCTCCAATGCTTTACACACAGACTACTCCTTTTTGCTGTTGGGGCTCGGGGGACAGCTGGAAGTAAGGATGCCTAAAAGCTCTCACACAGAAGCTAAAGGCAATGAGAGCAGCAGTAGTCAGAGTTCTCATGGACGTTCTACTTTGGTTGGCTCAGCTGCTAACCAAACACAGCATCTCCTCTCAGCTTGCCACAGGTGGTATTGCCACTTCTGTTACAGGTAGAGGCAGACACAGAGTGGGATGTGGTCATATACACATCGTGTATCTCCTCGGTTACTGCCCATGTATTTCAGCTAACTCGAGAAGCTCACTGGCTTTTCCAGGGATTTTACCTGGAGGCTGGCAGAAATGGAGGAAACCATCTGACAAACCAACATAGCATAGAGAACAGAAAAGTGAGAGAAATCTGCTAACCATGATTCTTTAGAATCGGCACAAATAAAAAGTCAACATAATTTCTCGCTATTCTGACCCATTTTCCTTCTCCCAAATTGTACTAAGAGT